TGGCTCCCCAATCATGGTTCGGTAGGGAATCGCCAACCATCCTGTAAGTGTTTTTCGGCCAGCTTAATCCAACCCATGCTAGGCAATGCCTTGGCCAGAAACCCAACAAGTAAGATAGTACCCTTCAACCGGCGGTTTCGAGCATTCGCGCATGTCTTGCAGACGTGTCGCCTTTTTAGTGCCGCGAATGCCTGGCTCGATTCCCCGGTTTGGGTCACGGTCTTGGAAGTGTGAATATCCGTGTGTGGAGAATGCAATCTACATGTAATCCAAGTGCGAGCGATCCGAAAATCGTAAGCTGGCCTGTCCAACGCAAATGCGGCGACGTGATTAAAGAGTACACATGGGTAATTGTGGCGCGCGCCGTATCCCCTCTCGGTCCTCCCTGTACATGTTTATGTGAAATCACACTTCACTCAAATGCTGTAGGTATGTATGTGCATGAATTACGATCGATCGTTTCTGTCGGTTTTGGCCTCGAGTGCCGTGTATGTGCGGGTAAAGTATTAGGCCCGGGTTGCTCCGCGCGATGCCTCGAACATTGCGGTTTGTAACACCGTCCCACCACACATCACCCCGATGGTGCCGCTAGAGTACACATATATATGAGGACCCTCTTGCGTCCTCGCCCACCGGAAGTAGTTTCTTGGGTGTTGTGTGAAGATCGCCCTCCTTGTGTTCGTGTAGAATATCGGCGCGAGTGCTCCAATAGTCCAGTGGACAAGACACTGCAGTTTACTACTATGTATGAACAGGTGGGTACGAACGACGGCGTATGCAGCACTTTTTGCACGGTTCAGGTAACTCGGTCGGCGCTCGGCGCCGAGAGTGCACCACGGCGGAGTCTTATGGGGAAAGCGCGCCCCGCGCGCTCCGGAAAAAAGAGGCAAGCCGAACGGCGTCCGTGACGAACCGGACTACACCCGACAAATAAATCGTCTCAAGTTTAGAGCAGGCCGAAACACCACGCTTCTCTGTGATGCGCCCAGATCTCATGATTCAGCGAAAGGCACATACCTCCATGTGCCGAAGCAAAGTGGTGCACATTTTGGCGCGCGCCCCGCCCCCCTCTCTGGTTTGACGTTGCTTGCTACGTGCATTGCATGTCCCCTTCCATATCCCTATTGCACTCACTAATCCCATAGGCATAGGTACTTCAGTGAGGCGTACGATCGCCCGTGTCGGTTTCTATGCCCCTCCGTGTTCAAGATCAAGCCCCGGGTTGCTCTCAAGGCGCCTCGAAGATACACGCAGTAGTTGATAACAGAACACCGTCCCATCACAAATCACAACACCCAGATGGTGCCGCGAGAACACGAATTGAATACGAGTGCTAGTTCTTTCTACGCACATGCACTTGTTTGTGGATGTTGTTCTGCGAGCATCGTCTCTCGCGTTCGTCTTTCTTAATCATTTTCATTCGTTTGGCTATGTATGTATGTATGCTGTGCCCTGCGGGAGCCAGGCCGAGTGAATTTTTCGAGTGCCTGCTTTTTCAACCTCGCTTACTGTAGGACACATACACCAGCGTTCCCCGGGGAAAGCTTGTCGTTTCCTGCCCGTGGTCCTGGTCGATTACTTACGCTTGTCGCTTGCTACTCGAGACATTTATGGGGCAGAACGCAGGATCATACCTTCGTCTCGGCCTCTTTCCGCGAGTGAACCTTCAGCTGCATGCATGTGCACTTTTTCGTTGCGTTCGCCTCCTCCTCTCCCCTCCCACCCACCCTGTCCCACACTTTTCTCTTCCTCTCCCTACCCGTGCCCGTCGTGGTCTACCGCACTACCTTAGCCATGTTTTTCGTCGCTCCCGTGCTATTGGCCACACTACTTTGTGTGGCTTCAGCCGTACAAGAATGGACTGTCTCGGGAGTGAATGCCGTTACCGGGCTCGACATGGATGGGTGCTACACCCTCATCGAGCTAAACGGGGACACCTCGTCGGAGGACGATCTGATGTATTTCTACACAAGGGATGGTGACCCTTCTTTTGGACCTGGTCCCGCCATACAGATTCGTAGGGTTGTTGAAGAAGAGAATTACTACGCCTCGGGGGAGGATTACACCCAAGAATGGGCTTTTATGACCATGATGGACGTGAATGTGTGCGGACAGCCATGGGAATCTTCGGGAGGCGTTCTGGTCTTTACAGACGATTTGCACATCACAGCCGAGGGCGACGAGACCGAACTCGATGTCACTTTGCGGTCCGAAAATTGGTACGTTTTCGATGGCACAGACACGTACGATCGGATCACGAACGATATCGCTCTCCGTCGAGGCTGTTACGATGACGAAGGATCCACAGAGTATTCGTGGACTGACGATTCTGTGAGTTCGTACGACATTTCTGCGTTCAACGAAGTTATACCGGGCGTGAGCCTCGATATACAATCCGACGACACCGTCACTGGTTGTGAGACTTCGGACTCTTCTGGTGGTACCAAGTTGTCTTTCGGTTCTCTTGGCATTGGTGCGATTGTTGTCCCTGTATTCACCTTTTGCCACATTTTGTTGGGGTGAAAATATGGTTGTTTCTGTATTTCGTATCCGCCGGGATATATATGTCAGTTCTCTTGAAAGACGTATCATTATTCGTCCGTCCGTATTGTTTACACTATTGTAATAAGCTCGTACATTAGAGGATAAGGTGGGATTTGTTTTCAATATGACAGGCCCTCCAGCCCGTGATTCAAGATTTTTGTTAGATAAATTGTCCCGACGTTGTGCTATGAATCGAGACACGTGTGGTGGGCGGGGTTCACTCCTCGTATAATGTAGATCGCAACTGTTAGGACACCCAATTTTAGAGCGGGAGTCAACAAGGAAAACAAGGGGTTACTCGGGAACAGGTTTTAAGACCGAAACGGTCGGGGGCGGTAATAATGCCAAATGACGGTATTTTGTAGGCGGTAGGCTGTTCCGTGTTTCTTGCCGGAACGACTTTGTTTCGCACCGCGGGAGCTAACCCTTCAGTATGGCGGGAACTTTGGGCGGGAATGCCGCATGGAAGTACTTCGTTTTGTGGGTAAGGGTGGTGTTCTGTTGCGTTTGTGGCCGTACCAAAAGATTGTTGGCGGAGGCGCTGACGCATATTTTCGGCGGCAGTAGCTTGGTTAATGGGATTTTTCGGCGGTACACGCCGACGACGTCGGGGGGGACAGTGAAACGAACAACCAATGATGGTTTACCGGTCGGTATCGCGCACCACGCAAGGAGGTAGCTTCACGGCCGTATTTTTATGGCGTAAACGCCACATGACCGACTTGTTGCAGCGTGGGCGCGCTTTCGTCCGTTGGTCCACTCAAATCATACGAAGGGGGACCCGAACGTAGTTCAAGAACCGAAGGAGAAAAATGAGCAAATACATATTCCTGGAAAGGCAACAAGTGCACGTAGAACTCGAACCCCGTGTCATTCACACTTTTCTCGCAGCGTCGAAGACTCAAAGAGGCATCCCAGGGCTATGTTTTCGGCAATCATTTAATTGGTCTTCCGCACGAGTCTTTCGTGTACTATGTAGCAAATAGGTCAAAAACACGTGTGCCGTATGCATGATGCTCCGAAATATACATGCATGTCGCCCGTCCTCACAGCGGATGCCCACATCCTTTGATAAGAAAATTGTTGTGTCTCCGATCGAGATCACCGAAAAACTGCCGAAACTCATTCCGCGCGAAAGTCGACTCTATACAACTCAATCCTTCGTATAGACTATACCAATGTATCTAGGTGACACAGTAGAAATCCCTTGTTGTCTCGTCCTAAACGAACTAAAGAGGGAGCGCGTTCTGGTAAAATCACAGTCTACGTCGCGGTACGTAAAAAGTGCTGCTGAGCACCGGATTCCCTCATGAAAAAAACACACTTCTTTCCCGGAGGAAAACTCACGTCGTTCGCGCAGCGCATCAAACATCACGTGGTGTGTTGGTACACCACGTGCTCTGCTGCTGCCACTGCTGCTGCAATCGAACAATGAAAAAAAAATATCGTGCAAAGTGCACATCAAAACTGCTGTCCAAGAGAAAAAACATCCAGACAGAAAAAAAGAAAGACAATCATGCACAAAACTGCGGTGCGCTTCCCTCACGGTGGAACCATTTCAGGCAGCCGAAGGAGTGTACCCGCCGGGGAGAAAAAAGGAAAGAAAAAAAAAAACGTCCCGACAACAACAACGGCTCGTAGAATGTACATCTTCTGCCAGAAGCCGATCTCCAGGACATAATTCACGTGGCCTCGCGCTCAAGTTGGAAGACAAAGGGAGGAAGGCGCCAACCCAAGCAAGGCCGCAAGGCGCGCCGTGGCACACATACACATACCAGATCATAGCCTTTAGAAATATTACGTGTTTGTGACCGCACCGAGACTGGCGTATTTCCATTCGTCAGCCGGGTAGCGCGATCAATGTTAACAATAAAAATACGTACACACCCACACATCGTTTAAGAGAGCACACACCCCACTGACTGCCCGGCCCGGCGGGACCCCTCCCCTGGAGGGGGACGGGGCGCATTTCACACACGGGCAAGCTCGTCTATCTCTGTCATCTACGATTCCTCGTCTACGACTCCTCGTCTGTCAAGGCAGGGATTGGCCAATGGCCATGCAGGAAGGGGTATACACACACAAACACTCTTTTCTTCTGTTGCTGCTGTTTCTGTCTTTGATCCGAAGGATAGTTTAGCCTCCCCCATGCTGCCCCCTCACGGGGTCCCAGTTGATGGCAGATAGAAGTGTTTTGTGTTTTCAACCGCACTAAGACTGACGTCATTTCATTCGTCAGCCGGTTAGCGCGGTCGATGCTAATAATAAATACACAAACACTCGACCAGCGGTGGATGCGTTTTTTTGGGAAAGAAGCAACAAAAAAGAAAGGGGAATTTGATGATGAGTGCACCTCTCCCTCATACGAAAGGCGAAACAAAACTAAGGGGCTAGCTCTCGTCCTCCGCCTTCCCTTCTTCGATGCTCCACGAAGCTCTTCATAACCCGTCCGTTTCTTACGGGTCCCATCGGATGATCTTCAAGAACTGCGTCGAACAGCAGGATTAACGGACAGGCAACGACAGCGGTGTGGGATGAGCTGCGAGGCAAATGAAAAAATCGCGCTCACCCCATGTCGGCGGTAGTGGTGGCGGCAGCGAGGGTCGGGGTATCAGCGAGGGCTGGGGCGGGGACAAGCCAACGCCCAAGACCAACAACACTAACAAGGCAGTTTCGTGCTTCGCCCGTAGTCTTTTGTTCTCGCGTACATATAGCGCCCGTAAAATAAGAAGAAACATGTTGTCGGTTCGCACTCGATCGAAAGAAATGCTTGTCTGCGAAAGGCGAACACCTTCTATCGGTGGCTGCCAGACCCTCTCCCCCGCCGAACCAGCGGAAAAACTGAACGAAAGCCGCGAATATCGCGTCATCACTCCCGAATGCCAAACCCACCTCTTCGAACGACCTGTAACCAGTTACTACGTTGACGCCGCCTCCGCCGAACCGGAGAAACGAAATAATAAACACGAATACCCCACCCGGGGAATACATGCAACGGTCTCCCGGTGATAAAATCTCGAATAATGCTCGATCGACACAACACCGCTTGTCGATACGCCGCACAACTCCACGTCCCGCTCCCGAGTACCAAACCCACCTCCTGGAAAGACACGCTGCCGACGGCGTTGAGGTCGAGCATCGTCATGATCTCCTCCACGGCGGACTCGTGCAGGAGGGGGTCCGCCCTGAGGAGCGCCGCCTTGAGCTCGGCGAGGCTCAGCGTGCCCGACTTGGCCGTCTCGGCCGAAGACCTGCCGCAGCTCCTACGCACGCGAGACACGCCGGGGGGAGGATAATATGCTGCTTGGAAAATCGTAAAGAAACACAGGTGTTAATGGCGCCCCCCGCTAACGGTATGAATTCATTGCTAGTTTGATCCTAGACCCTCATCTATGGATAGAGATAGTTTGAGTTGTGTCATTCTAAAAGCTCAATAAAAAAATGAGAGCCGCAACACACGGAGCCCCTGATGGTAGTGTGGCTTCATGAGTGGCGAGTTGGGGTCTCCGATGCCTTGGGGTGAATTTGCTCTCGTCCGTGCATCTCAATATGATGACAGATGGCTAACTTATTGGAAGCACATCTACGGATCGGCTGCCAGGGTGTTTTAACGTTCGGTCATCCGCCGAAACGTCACGAACAAGATGGATGGGGCCATGCCAAAGGGGGAAAAATAACCAACTGCACAGCAAAGAAACAGGGGGAAAGACACACACCCGGGAGTGCCCCGTATATCAAAAGCCACCGTTAAAATAAATGTTACACGTTTCACGCTGTCAGTTGGTTTTCTCGCGGATGCTGAATCGCCCCTTATTGTTGCTGGGGATGCACACCCCCGGCGCTGGTCCTTTCGTGCGCCTCGTCTCAGTCATCCCCCAATCAAAACCAGCCTTCCTCTTCACTTTCCACCGCCTTCGTCTCGCCGCCCCCGTAGTGAAGCAACCATTCCTTTCAACACGCAACACACATGAAAGAAAAACTACCCTCGGAATTTCACGTCTTGCCAACTCTTTCCTCCTAAAACATAGCCATCATGGCCTAAACAAACATTTTCCCGTTTCGGACCGCACTGAGACTGGCGTCCTTTCATTGGTCCGCCGTTAGCGCGGTCGATGCTAAAGAGAACATTTCGGCGACAAAACAAGAAAAATCGACTACAACCTCAGCCGTGGATCCTACACCAAACTCTATATATTGGCCTATGCTCGACGGTGATGAACTAAGAAATTAGGCCACGACCCCAAACTGACGTTACTTAAAAGCGCGGGTGCTCACTAACAAACCACCTCACCTTGTCCGAAAAGGTCGCCTCGCTCCCAAGCTATGTGAGCATCTTGTACACGCCGTGCCGGAACTGCCTCGCCCGAAGCATTCGCATCACGTCTCTACGAAACCCCGTCCGCCTCGCCATCAGCAGCCGGGCGAAGTCGTCGCCGTTTCTCTCCTCCACCGAGCAGCCGCCCTCGGCGGTGCACACGACAGAAGCGGGCCTGGGCTGCGCCGTCATGAGCGCCATCTCCCCGAACAAGCTCCCTGCAGAACGGACGGGGGGTACTCGGGTAAACGCATGCCGTAGCCGTTTGACCGGTGACGCCGGGACGGAGCGTATGCCGGGTTTTCTCCGGCCCAGGGGGCATGGAAAGTGTGTTGTGTTACGTGTGTGAGCTGTTCGCGCTCCCCTTTGCATTTGTGAGCTGCTAGCAATTCCCTTGCCCATGTGAGTGTTCCGCATCGATCGCATCGCTAGCGGCTGAATACCCAACCGAAAACGGAGCGGCATGAAAGGTTTGCTGTGGTGCGTGTGTGAGCTGTTAACACTCCCCGTGCCTCTAGCATCGATCGCGTATAGAAACGACTAGTATTACCCAACCAATCCCGGAGCAACACGAAAGGTGCGTGTGTGAGTTATAAGCGCAACTTTGCCGATATGCTACCATCGATTACTAAAAAAGCGGCTGAAATACCCAACCACCCAACCATCCGATGACTCGCACCTGGCGACAGTCGAACCACCGTGCGGTGGACGCCCGAGTGCTCCTTGACGACGTTGAGCTCCCCTTCCTCCACCGTGAACAGCGACGAACCCCGATCCCCCTGACGAAACACCGCCTCCCCAGGGCCCAGAAGCCTCTTCGTGACGGAGTGGACCGCGCGAACGACGTTCTTCGCCCTGAACAGCGCCCGACTGAGATGGCACAGAGTGATAGGGGCACCGGCGCCGGGGGTAGGGTTGTGGTGGTATGGTGTCGGGGAGGGTGACTTTGTTGTTGATATTGTCACTTGGGACCATTGTCCAAGCATCTCATTCAATTAAGACAGAGGTGTTTCGTTGATGCATATCGTCACTTGGGACCATTGACCAGGCATCTCTTTCATTCGGGAAGGAGGAGCCACTCAACCTACCTGAGAGCCACCCGACGAAGGCTGGAAGACACCTTTCCAGGCGCGTCGATCATCCGGCGGCAGCTGGCCAGGCTGACATTAATAACCTTCGCAAAGGCAGTTTGGGCGCAAGCCACACACATGCCGGGGGGGGGTCAGAGGCAAATAGCATGTCGTGCTTGTGATGCCATAGATAGTATCTTTTGTCGTGATACGTGCTGCCGCTTCTATCCGATGCGGCGCCCTGACTTCTTGACCTGCTCATCCTCAAGAACTTCAGTGGTGACACGTGGACCACCAAACGAAAACGTTGACATTCACAATGCAACAAGCGACTGCAGAGGTGGCAACCGAGTGACAGAAAAAAGAAAACCGATATGAAGTCCATCGTACTTTCTCTCCTTCCAAGAACGGACGAGCCCCTCTCTGCCACAAGCTGGGAACACCGAAACGCGTTTGAACCAAGCAACGAGGCGGAGACATCACAACCACCGCGTGCTCCCTCCTTTTCACTCGCCCCAATAACAAGCCCGATCTTGAACGAGAAAAAAAACGGAGCCTCCTTTCCGCGCGCGCCCTCGCCCTGACAAGAGTAGCCCCGCCCTCCCTCCATTCCAAATTCCAAAGCATCTCTCCCCCCGTCGCCCCTGTAATCTGGCGTTCCTCACCTTGACAGGTATTACCGCGCGCACGGATTCTCCCCGGGGCTGTGCCGAAACGACTCCGCCCTCGCAAAAGAAGTCGCCGGGTCCCATGGAAGCCACCCTTTTTGATCGAGGGGGGGTAGAAGGAAACACAAGAAGAGAGAAGCGCGTCCGGCGCGCGGATGTTTAATTGTTTCATCGCTGTACCGTGGTATGTATGCTGTTTCGATGAGTGAATATGGCCATTGCGCCCAGAGGTGGCGCCCAGACATAAGTAAAAAATAGCGAAAGAGAGAGGGAGAGAGAGAGGGAGAGAGAGAGAGAGAGAGAGAGAGAGAGAGAGAGAGAGAGAGAGAGAGAGAGAGAGAGAGAGAGAGAGAGAGAGAGAGAGAGAGAGAAAAATCATATGTGGAGTCAACCAAACTCAACCGAACGACGACCGTTCTCGCTGAGAAGGACTTCGTCAATCGACATGGCGTTGTAATCGTATGATACCCTGCGTTAAAAATAGTCAGGCACGCACCGCTGTAGCTACCACGCAATCCGAATCTTGGCCGCGCGTTCTCAGATTTATGCCACCCTGTCATGGTCAACGCGCTGACGTCTGCAATCAAGCCTCGCCCATGCAAGGCAAAACCACAAATAAAATGCGCAGAAAGGGCGTGTTACCCTCGTCTGACCTCACAATATCTGAGGGCCGTTTTAAACGCGGCGATTTTTTCCCCAATTTCCAAAATTTTGGTTCCGAAAACACACGGAACAGCGATTGGCGGCGCCCACACAACATTTTTTTTTCTGGAAAATTTGGAAATTTGGAAAGAAGTAGGGGCCGAAAAATTTTGGAATGGTTCGTTCCAAATTTTTGGAATCGTTCCATTTTTTTTTTGGAAAATTGGAAATTTGGAGCGAAATAGCGCTGCGATTTAAACGGCCCTAACTCACGAAACGACTGATGCTCGGCGAGCTGGCGGGGGGGGAGAAGCCACGTAGGGGGGGACAGGAACAGAACTGGCCGAAGTGTGTGCTCGACGACCTGAAGGCCTTCGGGGCCGACCACGGATCTACGAAAACCGACCCAAGTTGTCTCGGAATTCCCGTACCGAAAGACACGGCACCGAAGTCAAGGTGGACGGAAGCCGCGAAGGTGGAGGGGGGAGTACCCTGGCATGCGGCGGTGCTGCAGGGAGCTGAGAGGTTCATGACCTCCTGGCACGAGAAGGAAGAAGAGGCCAGCCGACAACGAGCGCTCAAACGAAACCACAAGCCAACAACCAATGGGGCGGGAGGGGGGGAGGAGACGGACGAGACGGCGAGGGAAGAAAGCAAACGAGAAGAGACGGACCGAGTGGCACGACACGTGCCGGATTGAATTTCTTTTCGCCAATTCCCCCCCCCCCAACGCTGCACCATTGCACCAACCCCCCAGTAGTAGTGATTTCGTACCATTACAATGTATCGCTGGTTGGTGGCCATGTTTGCGTGTTTGCTTGTTCGTTAGTGGTCTCTCCACCGTGTGCCTTGTTCTGCCTCATACTTCCTGTTATTTTCGGCCTGGTCCCTCTTTGTCCTCGCCCTTTTTTTCATTTTATTTTCATTTATTTTCTCTTCTCCTTACGGTTTCCATTTTTTGTTTTTTCTCCTTTTCTTTCTCTTTGTCCTTTTTTTTCTCTCTTTTTTTCTCTCTTTTTCTGTGCCAGATGGACTTGTCTCTGCTTGCGTTGTGAAGTACCAAGATTGAACTAAGGGAGTGTGCCTCTTTCTCTCCGGCCCATGATAGATAGTGACTGCTAATCTCAGTTGATACCCGCATAGCGTGAAGAGGGAGCGGAGGATCCCAGAATATCTGTCGTTGATTTCTATTGACTTGCGGACCCCTCGGGGCCAGTTTATTTGAGTGTACCTTTTTAGGGTAAGTTAACCTGTGACCACGGGAATCGACCGCGTCGAGTGTTGGATCAGTACGGACATACGAAGGTACTGGGTAGAGAGAGATCGGAACGGTTTTTAATGTGAAGACAACAACAACAACAACAACAACTCACCAGTACTGACATATTCACTGTTTCTGCAATCAAGAGAAGCCCCTCCCTCATGGACGGCAGGATAGCACGAACAGGGGACACATTATTGAGTCACTTTGGGCAACGCAGGAAGGAGCGAGTGGCCATCGGTCGTGTGGGAACAATGCTCCGTCCTGTCTCGAGGACAGCGTGGTCCATGGTCGAACAGTAAAGGGATGCAAAACATGAGCACGCCCATCCCGTGGGCAGCGCCGGGCGCATTGAAGCATTCCCAGCTGCGAGCAGGGTAGATGCACGAACGTCGTGAGCCATATCAACGCGGCCGTTGGACGAAGTGCGGAACATGCGGTGGAGCTTGCCGATGGTATGTATGATATGTGTGTTGCGGCTCTCACCCGTTCTGGGGGCTGGTCAGCTTTTTCTCGGAGAAGTATTCTAAGAGTATCGAAGCCGGCTTCTAATGCACGGCAATGTCTACCAGAGAAAGACAACAAAAAGGTAAAGAGGCGTGATATTGCTGTGCCTAGCTCACCTCGTGTGGGCATGGTACGTCGGCGTCGGTGGCTGTGAGTCGGCGTTCGTCGTATCCGGGGATGATCCACCCTCGTCCCCGGTGGTGCTGCTGCTGTGTCAGCCCGCGCTGTTGACGAGCACGTCCACACGCCCTTCGACAATGAAGTACAGACCACCATCGGGCGCGTCTCCCTCCCTGAAAACACAGGTATGACGGAAAGAGGACCCCAAAAAAGACAAAAATAAGGGTAAAAAAATGGAAGACGGCGACCAACAGCGAAAGCGACAACAGCAACAATAGGAACAACTTCGATTAACGCCTGTCTACATGTATACCCCAAGAATATCGCCAGTGAATACCGAGACCACACAGGGGGGAGGGGTGGTGACGAACGATGCGCTAAGCAGAGAAACAAAGATAGATATGCTTCGTAACGTCGAGCGACAACAGAACTAAATGCAACAACCGCAACAGAGACAACGACAACACATTCCTTTTACCTGAAGACAAACTCCCCGGGCGGGTACTCGGTGGTCTTGAGGTGGTCCAGAAGAAGATCCTCGAAGTCCGACATGTCAAGCCCGTCCTCCTCCCCCACAGCCGCCCTTTCCGCCTCCTCCGGCTCGTACTCGTGCTCCTCCATTGCCGTGGACAATGGCGCCAACGTCGTAGTGCCATTACTGCGGTTGCTGTGGCTGTTGTTCCCAGGACCGATGTCGCCGCCGGTGGTGGTGGTGGTGGTAGTGAGAGGGCTGTTGCCGACAGTCTCTCTTTTGCTGCGATCGCACCGCCGCCTGCTACCGTCGCTGCCACTCTCGTGTCTTCGTTGCTACTGCTGCTGCTGCTGCTGGCGGTTCCCCCGTTACCGCTGTTCTCTTCTCTGGTAGCGGCAGCGGTGGCGTCGATGTGGCCCGGCGGTCTTGATCCCAATGGCCGCCTGCAGGTTAACAAAAATATGCACACAGCGGAGAAAGTGTGGGGCTCCGGAATGAAACACGCGCGCCAGGGGGTGAGTGCACATTTTGCTGATTACCTTTGGATATTGTTCATCGAAGTTTATTCCCAAGGAAGCCGGCACCCTGACCGGCGGCTCTTACGGGGTTCGCACGACGGCGTGTTTTTTTTCCCCACGGATTCTTAATACAAAAGCAACAACAATCAGCAACAGGAGCAACAACACCGATATCAACAACCAGCAACGAGATCAACAACCAACAGCAACAACAACAATAACAACAACAACAACAACCAGCCACGATATCAACAATATCAGCAACATCAACAACGCAGACCTGAATTTTCTGGCGACAGACACCGGCTCGTCGATAATCCTGCGCTCGTCCTCGCTCCGGACGCGCTGTGCTCTTCTAGAACTCCCGCGATGTCCTGTAAAACGTAGAAATATAATGCTCGCGCAAGGTGGCAGCCAAAGGGCAAGGAGAGCGCGGGCGGAGTGAAATCGAACCGCAGCTACGTAGGCGAACCTCAAAAACAAGAAGAAAATTGGGTCACTTCATCAAAGTCGGCGTCGACCCGAAGATTGACTAGACCACATGATGGGAGGAGAAAAAGCAGGACGAAAATGAAAGAGAAAGAGAAAATGAGTAAGTCTCGCTTGCCGCAAAAACAAATCAAAGGGCCATATTATGGCTCACTGGTAGTGGCCGCCTGACAGAGCAAATGACATCGAAACACAAGGAGCATGCGTACCCCCCACAAAGCGGAAAATGCTGCTTCTACTTCTTAAAATTGTACTTTCCAATATTATTTTATGGGGAAAACACATAGGATCAAAAACGATTGGGAGCTCCAACTCTTCCTCCAGAAAAAATAAACGCCAACAGAAAGAGGGAGAGAGAGAGAGAGAGCTCACCGGCCCAGCCCAGCCCAACACCATTCTTCGCAGTACGAGTAGGTTTTCTGGAATCTGAGGGATGACGACGTCGTGCCCAGTTGGTGTGTGCTTCGGTGGGTTGTGAAATCATTGCGGTCGAAGACGCGGAGGTGGCATAAAAAAATGCTTCACACGATGTTGTCGATCCGTTTTTCTCCTACAGAAACTTCATGTTACACACCCATATAGACATTTCGGATCAAACATTGAAAATAACAGTATAGTGGTACTTGTATTTTATTCGCGGATGATGGACGCGAGACCGAGAAACCCTTTGTCGGTTCCGCGGAAGAATTTCGTGGAATTGATAGCTGGAGTGGCGTGGCAGAGGTTCACTTTCCCTCACAAACCTACGCTTGATGGCTTAGTGTTTGTGGAGCTTCCATATGAATCGAGAGCAATCTACGCCGCGATGTCTTCGGCAATACCTCATAATTCTGTGTACTGTCGTTGGGAAGGAATTCCGTACGAAAGAGTAGAACGTGTTGTTGCACTTCTCGAGAGTTGCCGATGTTGTCTTATATCGGTGGCAGCACATCGCGCTATCTACGCACCTCGTACATGCCCGCTTTCCCGCAAAATACGTGTAACCCCAGGAGGCGAAAACGTGCCCAAATACACGACACACGACGAGGGAGGAATAAAACTTCTGCTGCTTCATTAGGAGTGCACTGGGCACGCTTCATGACCTATATACATTTTGGTGTCATCTTGTAAAACACCCAGGGGCCGCAAACGCGAATCATTCGCGAGAAAACAACACGACAGATTTCTTCACCCCCTGTCACCCCGACAGAATTTCCCGCCCCTTGTGTACACGTCACTACATCTGGCGTGTTTCGTTGGATACGTACCGAATACGATCGCTCTATCAACACGCCACGAGTGTCGCGAATGAAAGTACAAATGTTGATATCCATCCAAGCCAAAGCGGAAGGCCATGCGCCACATCCAATTTTTCGAACATCATCCGCGAGGAAAACATCGCATGTATTCCATACAAATATTGATTAAAAACCAACAGCAAGTCGTCTATATAGTCAACGCAAACAACAACCTATTTCTAAACGCATGCTTTTTAACACGTTGCAGCACGCTGCAGTCGCCTCGATGCACGACTGGCGACCGAGCGGCATCTCAGCATCCTTCATGCCCGCAAAACATTGCGTCTTCGTCGGACTTGAAAGCATCACACGGCTGAGGGTGATCCAAGTCGAAGTACGGGCGATCGATGCCCGCACGCACCATCCCACAAGCGCCGTCATCCACATAGCGAAACAATGAGTCGGTTCCAGCGCCAGACTTCCCCTTTGCTCCCTCCCATAGCTCGGCAATCGAGTCCGGGTAGGCGTGGTGCACGCCCATGTGCGTCGTACACACGTCGGGATACTGTTCTTTCGGGGAGTCAAGGAGCAGGTCACCCTCGTGGTCCAGCCGGGGATCGTGCACCCATTCAACATCTCCCATTCGGTTCAGGGGGTTGCCTTTCGTGAACCACCACGCGGCAGTGACTCCTGCGTGACCACTGCACACTAGATCGGGGGCAGACAACACCCGCCCCACCAACGCAGACGACAGCAGGAGGTATGCCTCATCGATCCTCGCCCTCCCCCAAACCTCGCAATACCGGTGTCCGGCGTAGATGTTGAGTGGCTGCTCTGCTCCAGCAAGGGTCGCGTCCAGCTCGTCCAGGAGGCGCCCAAGACACAGAAAATAGTCGTCGTCCAAGCGGAGGAAGAAGTCGAACGAAAACTGCTTTGACATCCACCGCATCGCCCACACAAGCTTCAGGGCGAAGTTCATCCCGGGATCGATGTCCATCAAGACTAGATCTCCGTGGACCGCCGATTCCTCTTCCAGGGCGGCTGAGGTAGCCTGAGAGTCGGGACCGCTCCCGGCCGGCGCCTCCGTGAAAAAGCGTAGCTCAACGCGATCATCTCCCCACGCCGACCACCCAGCCCTTATTGCATCCCGCCTCTCCGATCTGGCAGAGACTACGGCGATGACCAGCAATACGTGAGGCACAGGAAGAGTTGTCCCGCTTCTCTCGGACAACACTGAGGACTTGTCCGCTTCTCTCCGTCCGGCCAACCTGCCTTTCGCCGGTGCTGGTGCTTGTTCATCAATGGCTATTTTTTGGCGTTCGACCTGCTCCAAACCATCATAGCCCACATCCCGGAGATCTTTCAGCCAAGCCTGTGCCGCAAGAACGAAGAGATGGTCGAGAGGGTTACAACAAGTCGGGCTAGAGTATGATGCTGGTATGAAAAATTGTCGGTTTCGCCGTCGGGATATAGAGGGTCGGTCGGTTCGAATTGCAAAACATGATTCTTCGCCAGTGCGAAACAGCAGTGGGAGGGGGCAGGATGAAAGGTACGTGTGGTATGCAAGTGGAAAGCGTTAGACTACTACCCGACGAGCACCACCCCAACCAAGAGTGTTCTGACTGCCCCCTTGCTCCACACAGGAGATCGATCTGCTTGCATAGCAGCCCAACACAACGATCAGGGAACAGTCGAGCCTCACCTGTGTCAGCGCGACGTCGTCACCCTCAACAATGCCATGCTCGTACATTGTCACAGAAAGGGCCTCAATCCGAGAAGCCTGCGACTCGGGAGAGGCCTGCGCCGAGGCTTCGTCTTCGACGGCGTGTCGATACTGGAGGAGAAAATCTACAAGCGCCCCGCTCTGTTCGTACAGTGGGAGCTCGGCTTGAAAGTCATCCCGGTAGCTGTTGGGGCCTTCCAGCTCCTGAAAGAAGCGATTTGCAACGCGTGCAGGGGGGCAATGCCACATGGCGCGAGGGGGGCGGATACACCGCAGTGCTGGTTGCATAGGCATCAAGCAGGCAAGAAGCGAAAAAAATGGCCAGGACTCCACGGCCGACAAAACCAACTGTGAGCATCAATGCGCTATCTGGCACGAAGAAGACGCACGGATTTCATGACCCCGGACACAAGAGGCTGGGGGGTGCAACCGATTAGATGTTGGGGATATTCCTCTAGTGATCGACCCCCACAAGTATCGGTACGGTCACAGCACGAACGGGCCCACACTTGGTGCTGAGATCAAGCCCTTGACCGAGTTTCGTGCGGCGCCAAGACCACGTCATCCCAACCCACGAACACTACATGTATATCTCTATTTCTGAACATTTCTACTGGATGATCACGAAGACGCGCAGCCTCAGACGTCAACACAGCAACCGTGCAACACGCTGACTCGACATCTCGATGTTGTAAACAGCGTTCTGCCAAAACAAGAAACACGGGAAAGTTTCTGTCCTCCGGCTCGACCCCGGCATCGAGCAGCGAGGAAATACTTATATTGCACATAGTCGACCATGTTGTTCGCATGGTGAAAACCGAAAAATGCCGCGTTTCATATCTGCCCCGTGGTGGAGCCCGAAGGCTGTTGTGAGCCATATGCTGTCACGGGGAGAACACTAACGATTCGGGTCTACAAACGTCCCCGTCTTACTTGGGGTTCAAACGTCTCCTGCTGCGAGCACTGTAGACTAGACCCTTACCCGCGTAACCCAAGGAGGGGCAAAGCCGACCACTGCCCCGGCAGACGGGAGCAGCGTTTGTGTGAAATAGCTGCGCCAGATGTCGCTGACCCTCTCGTGCACGGTCACCGGCAGCAGCATTCCCCAGAACGCAACCGGGAAGTGGAGGGTCGCCTAATTGATGCCGTGCACAAGCGAGAGGGTTACACGATCCATCTGTCAGCGGGTTTTCCGGCCTGGTGTTTAGCGTACGGTCGAGCACGCCAGCTTGCACAGCGGCTGTGTCAGTCTTATATCCTGGTTTCTGCCTACAAGTGGAGCTTTTATCGCACGAAACCAAACAGCGGCAGCATCCCAGACGACCCTCTGCATGATTTCTGATTTCTTCCTTCATGCCATCCAAACGGGGAATGCTGTTGACGATGGTCAGCCCTATCTCAAGAACCCGCCCAGGCTTCCCTCCACAAAGTAAATCCTAGAAAAACAGCGGCCTTGATTCCCTGCACTACGCTAGCCCCCAAGGGTGGCTGGGGTTACCTTTGCGTTGTACGGCGAAAAGGTCCAGGCGGGGACTAGGCGCAGCGAGCTTCCCGGCAGGGGCGGAGACTCTTCGACGAAGCTCAGCGGCGACCCTCTCGGCGCGCACGTCATGCGGTAGAGCGCGTCAACATCCGGGTTATTGTCGGCGAGGGCTTGCACCACACCGACGCGCTGCTCGCCGGCCCCGCCACCGCCCATGACCACGCCGCACATCGACGAACTCTTGTCTCGGATCTTGGCGGGGGGAAACCCTCTGGGCCAGACGACCCCGGAGGCGCCGAAGCAAGGGTAGGGGTTGTGCACGCATGTGGAGGGCCTCGAAAAGAACGATAGCTCGTGCTCGGCCGACGAGGTTTCCGCGAAAGGCACGCCTTCTTCCGGGCGCATGAGAACGTGAGCGTCGTCCACATCGTAGATTACCTGTCGTAAGAGTTCGGACACGTTTCAGACAAGCTTCGATACGCATCGAAAGGCCGCGAGTTGAGCTGATGTCGTGCCTCTGTGGTGCAACAGCGAGTTCACGCGCGTAGCCCTGCGCCGTGCTACACACACACAAGACGACATGCATTCGTACTGCTGCAGCAACGATTGGTTCGGACTCGACCCCGGTTCGAAACCACGATTCATTTCGTGGGGGTGAGAGAGGCTTCAAGCTTTACAGTAAAATATTTATTTGCTGCGCCCGTAAACACGATTTCATGTAGCTGTCAGGGTCGGTAGCACGAAATACGTACATTGTCCTCACTTCAAGTAACTCGCCACTGGTCCTTTGACACCATCTGCAAACTTCTCTCCATGCCCATGTGATATTCAAGTCCCATGCGCTGGTACCGAAGATGTACTAGTCGCGCGAGTAGGCAACAGTATGGGATGGATTGGCGGCCGGCACCACCATGTACCATTTCTCACTGACCTTCGCTCCATGATGAATCGCGTACAAGTACCCGATGTTCTTCCGGCCAACGTGGTTCCACGGAATCAGGTCCGTGATGCGGTAGGGCAACGCCTCTTGGTCGCTTGGGGTCAGGAGTACCACTCCCACCACGTTGTACTCCGTGGGTCCTGACGACGAGGAATTCAGCGGGAAGCAGAACGGCATCGAAAACTTGAGAAAAGAAAATAAGTGGCAGATTGGTCCAGCGGTTCGTCCACAAGACATACCGTGTCAAATGGTTGCTCCATCTTGAGGGTCCCCTAATGACGATTTTCCCAGCGTCGGGCTGTGTGCACAAGGAGCAGCACCAAGTACTTCCGCAACACTATAGTTTTCTGCGTTTATGCCGTGCAACATGTTCCTTTTACTACCATTCACTGGCTCACAGTGACCTCGTTGTCTTCAAACGATTGACGGGCAGCAAAAGGACCAGAACGAAATTTGGTGTCCAAAGCTCTCAAAAAGGGCTCAAGCTGGACATCTAGGCTTACAGCTGCGCCACCCGGGCATTGGCCTACATGGAGGGCACAGGTGTGGGCGCACGTCTCACTGTAGCAGTGAAAAACATCACCGAAAGAACAAAATTGATAACGTTTCGGGCCAGAAGCCAACCTCTTCCAGAGGTACAAATACATGCCTCGCCTACTGACGCTCTCTCGGAACGCGTGCCAATGAGCCGATTCGCGAAAACCGAATTTCTACTGATCGACGATGTTCGACTCTTAACACTGGGTGGTTAGGACCCAGCATGCAAGAGTAAGACGAAAACCGCGAACCTGAAACACGAGAGGTACTCGTACAGGTAAGTTCCTGCGACTACTTGAGCAATCTTTGCAACCTGAGCAGTCAACTCCCGTTTCTCCGACATCTCCGAACGAAGAGACCATTACACAGCAACCGAATGGTGTTGTCAAAGAGGCATTGACGCAGGCACATCGCTTTGATGTGGGGGAACTGGCCGCTGGCCGCAACCGCATGAGGTCGGCGACAAATCAAGACAAGAGAGCGCACAAGCTCTGAGCAATGCGGCCGTCCATTCGAAGAACCCTGTACATCCCCGACTACCCGCCTCTTCAGATTAAGGTGGCTTGCCGGACAACCAATGTCGTATATCTGAACGTCACCACATGAAATCAAACGGCCACTCATGTACCACACGGCCCACCCATGCCATGCAGCCGGCACGCACTCAGCAGACACCTCCCGCACAAATTCTCACCGTCTTTGTCGCCGACAACCACTACACACCATTCGCCCAGTTCTGCTAGCTGCTTCACCGCGTCGGTTGGCTCGTCTGCGGATGCCAGCACCGCCCACCTCTCGCACGTATCTTCCGCAGCTGGCGGCGGGAACAAAGAGGACGGCTCGACGCTTGGGGGCGTCGTCCTGATTTCCATTCTTGGCCCCGCGTAAGTTCGAACCTTTTCCATGGAGAACATGATGTCGCCGATGGGGGGCGATCCGCACGCGCCTGGAGATGTAGGCCGTCGTCGGCTCCTCTTGGAGTAATGAGAGACGAGGAACAAGACGACGGCCAGAGCGGAAACCGTTGCTGCGCCTCGGCGAAGCACGCCGGTCAGCCGGCAAGCCATCATAGCGCAACCAACAGGAACCTCTCCAACCCACCAGTCGCTCGGCAGCAAAGGCCTGACGGAACGGAGAGGGACAGCGGGGGAAATGGAAGCAGGTTAAGGCAAGCAACGAGGGAGGGTAGGCGTGCGTAGCCGTTCTGTTGCCAGCTGAAGGCGAGGATCTGCCAAACGGCCTGCATGCTTCCACGAAAGTAAAGAATGCCGCGCGGTTATGGTCAAAACCTTGACCAAATTTGCAGAATAAAGTCACAAAAAAATATATTGCGTGCTTTGATCCTGGAAGAAGCAGCACCAAACGCGGATCCACCGACACGCATACAGTTGATGACTTTCTTGGCGACTTTTGCCAGACACCCGCAAACCTGAGCAATCACGGACGATGCAAGTTTCGGCAAAGGGGCTGGTGCAATTTCATGGCTGCGTGCTTGTTTGAGGGAGGAAGCAACGAGCGCGGAGCGAGGATGGGTGATCGAAGAGTTGGGCGAGCTACACAAAGACGTATGCAAAGTAGCGGGAGCACGGGGGTCTATCCAAACAAACATGCCCGGCCCATCTCCGGGCCCAGCGAGGGAACCGACGAGCGTGTGAATGTGTTTACTCTCTACTCGTGTTCTTTTGGAGTCCATCCGCATATTGTTGCCGGTCGACATTCCTCTTGATCACTACTCTCCTCGCACAGATCTTTTACCATTCGTTTTGGGCAGCGTTCCATTCCTCCGGCATATGTTGTGTGGAGTTCAGCTGGGTCAAACTGTTGCTCATTTTCATGCCATCTTGTCTTCTTCGTCAATATTTCCATCCCTCTCTCCTCTTCCATTTCCTCCTCCTTGGTTACTCGACTACTTGAGCGATACATTTCCCCTTCTATGCCACCACCATCGTTTGCTTCGCCAAAACTGTCTCCAGTGTCTTTGTCAACACCGAGAACGCGTGTGCGTGTGCGTGCGTGTGTATGAGAGTATAAGCTAACCAACAGCAACTGCAACCCCATCACGGGCAGGCATGAGTCCCAAGGGCTGTGCCAAGCGGCGTGTAGGAATGGGGACACCGCACATTTACCATTCTTCTGCAGTGTGAGTGCTCTACATGCACCATGTGGGTTGGTTGGTGCCGCGCTTGTCGAGCAAACCTTCGTGGACGATCTCTCGAGAAGGAACGCAAAAAAACGGTGGATTAGAGGGCATCTGATACTACAGCTAACAGCGGCTACGGGTTGCAAGAGTGTAGCGACAAGCAGAAACTGTTGGACCAGATTTTCTCATAAATTGATAATTTTCGTATTATTCGGCTGGTTTTGGGAGAGAACCCTCTCAAACCGTAGCCAACCGAGACAAGGCCGTTAAGGAGCGATGGCTTCGCCAACACCGCCGCAAGAGCAGGTGAAGGGCATCAATATCGTGGTACTGTAACACCCGAAACAGCTGCGTCAACGCCTCGTCCCGGCTCCACACAGCGATATACACGAAAACATAACAGCAAGCCTTCGAAGCAATCAAGACAACGAAACCGTGAGCGCGTCTGTGTCTGCGGTTCGTGGCGCGTGTGATGTGGGTCCCTTTGTCACGGGTTCGATAAGGCAACTCCCCATGGGATGGAGGAAATGTTTCTCTCATATCGATGGTGACGGCGACAAACCCAGGCTTGTTCGAGTTAAGCTCAAGTCTCAACTCAGACTGTAGTCAAGGTACAATAGAAAACAAATTTCCCGCTTGCAGAGTCCGACTTGAACGTCTTTTCGAATGGAGGGGGCAAGCGCGTTGGTACGCCTAGATCCGTTGCTGGGGCCGTACTCTGTCGCAGGCTGCTGCTGCGGCCAGAAAACTCCACAACTCGAGGTCCATGCCATTCAATCCACTGCTGTACGTTTCGACACAGACCCCCTCCCTAACTGCTGCCTACAGCAGTAGCTCACAATTCTACAGCATCGTAAAAGTCTAGCTATCTATGTTGTAGGAATTTCGCGGCTCGGGGGAATGGTCTGTGCCGACGCGTACGATGCAGCAGTGGATCGTGGATGGCATGGACCCAGAACAGCGGAATTCCGACAGCGATGCAGCCTTCGACAGCCCCAGCAACCGATCAGGGCGTGCCACCACGCATCTCGCTGCTCCATGTCCACGGCGGGACTCAGCACACCCGACTTAGCACCCACCGTGTCGCCTGAATTGCCTCGAATAGTCTACAAGTCTTGGATGTTTTTTTTGTCTTGGTTTTTGGAGAGGTGGTGGAGGTACTGTACATGACTACAGCAGTATGTGATAACCTGGTACTTCGAAGTATATGATGTTGAACACAAGCCCCGCCCGCTGCTAGTCTTGCGTGTATGTGATTGCTGGGTGCTGCGCCTGCTCCATTTCCAAAAAACTCAGCAGCCATGCGCACGGCTCAGTACGCTCAGCGGTACAGCAGTACACCAGCAGTACGGTACACCTGGTACACAGTATGCATACAATGTATGCGTACTGTAGATTATTTTCAGCAGTAGCAGCTGTTTTGGCTCTCTGCTGTAGAACGATCGCGACTGCTGTGAAGGGCACACCAGATGGACCCGTTGGATAGGGTGTCCTCGGTCGTAGCTGGTCAACCGCAGGGTGCCACGTGAAGATATCGCATCCACACGGTGGTCTTCGTACAAGCAAAAATATGTACGGTGTGCACGTCCAGATTGGACACTTGAATCTATCCCGCGGCAGGCCCACAGAAAAAACAGCAGAACACATGTGGTTGGGTGACACAGGCTTCAAGATTGCTCCCAGAGACATCTCGGTTCGACGCTGTGGGAGGAAGACACTAGGGGTCAACGTTGCCGATATACCATAGCCATGCAGGCACGCTACGGCGGGCGCCTCGCTATATTTCCGGTAATGTTAACACATGGTATGCAAGAGTAGAATACCTGGAACCAATGGAACAGGCACGACGGCGATGTCGCCTTCACTTGCTGGCGCTTCTGCTGGGGTCATAGGGGGTACCGAAGGACAGCGGTGCAGCGTGGATCAGCTCTCCAGTCAGGTGTAGCACGGAGACCGGATGGTTGGGAAAGATCCCGATGGGTGCTTTCAAGTTGCGAGCTTCGCGAGGAATAACCACCTGGTTGGTGAACGGATGCATTGTCTTTCAAGGATCTCCGCAAATCTCCGTACAAGGGGGGTTTCGCAGGATCTTGCATACACCCTACAATATATTCCTCTCATGATTCTCTCCTTCACGGGCCCCCAGGCAGGAAGCTTTTTTCGGGTTTGAATTGCGTGAGGCAGAAGACTAAATTGGAATTGCGTGTGGCGGTATGCTATGTAGGTATGTAGTATACCCTTGAGCAATCGATAATATGTCGATCAGCCGTCGGCCTGCAGCAATTCCACAAAGTTCCGCCGCACGTCAAGTCTCTGAAAATGAAAATACTGTTTGGAGAATGTAGGGTACAGAGAGGAGCACAGGCTTGTAGCAAGTGCAGGTGTGGCAACTGTAGTCAGTTTGTGGTAGATGTGCATGATAGATGGCGATATACACGACGCACCCATCTACCCGTCTGCGTGCGGCTGTCCGGATCATGTCCGGACTGCTCTGTACGCACTGATTTTGGGGTGCGGACCGCCTGAAGTCGCGCCTCCTGGAAGCGATTGATGATGATTGAGCATGTTGATGAGAAGAGCGTTTTCTTTTTTTGTTTGTTGCGATTCTCCCCACACCCTCTCACGCACAAAGCCACACAACCACCAGTCCCCCCACCACCCCGGAAAGCGATCGGCCCATCGAAATACCGTCCAACATCGAGGTGAGAAACAATCAATGTTTTCTCGCCTAGAGGCTGCAATACAACAGCTGACAAGCTTTGCCCTAACCTACGCATCTTGATGCACCTTCTACGTTAAAAATACTTGGTTGAGTTCATGAAGTCCATCCATCCGCTATAACGTTCACTCTGGGCAAGTGGATGCAACTACTGTTTATCCCACAAACGTGGATCAATTCACAGGTGTTCACCCGATTATCCTTTGTATTGGCCCTACAGTAGACCTCACCCCATAGCTCGCGTGTTCCTACCTTCTTTCGCTGTACCCGAACGAATAATTGAGATCAAATCAGGAATCTACAGCGTCCATCTTGAATGAATTCTTGCCTCAATTGACAGGGACGAGCAAACACCACCGTAGACTATCGCTGGGCTCTTACCTGAAAGACACATTGGTTTATCTAGGCCTTTGGCGTGGTTGAGGTCATTGCAATGATCGATCTCTCCCAAGTACCAGGCCGGAACCAAGTCCTGTATGCTACGCCGTCCAGGTTCACTCTTTCGTGATCTCCACAAGTTGCCGTAGTCTGTTGTACGGAGTAGACCACACGAAGACCGGTGGTCGCTGACAGTGTGCATCGCACACTACTACAGTAGTACAATTTTTCCACACTGCTGAAGCATCCTCTATATCACAGGCGCTAGGGCTCCTTAGACTGCACCTACCTACGAAACGCACCCTTTCTACTCGTTTGGGTGACCGCAAAGACAGATTGTCGTCGCTCTTGGTTAACCGGGTCTCACAATGTATAATGTAAAGTGGAAAATAATGGTGTCGTGTCCTCTCGGCGGAACAATACGATTGTAAAATATTTTATTCAACCACTCACGATTGGAATGTGGTCACTACAAACAGCTTAGAGCAACTCACGGCGTGGATGTGATCTGTTGCATGTGTAGCGACAGGGATAACTCCATGTTTCCTCCGTGTCCTGCACAGCTCAGATCAGATGCCCAGGCCACGGAAATTCTTACAATAGCAGCGGCATCATGGAGCTGTCCGCGGTTGGTAGTAACCGCGCTCCTACAGTAGTGTAGGACAACTATCCGCGATCTGCATGTGCGTGAAGATGCTACGCCCACAACGAGAGAGTTTGACTGCAAGACCTCTCAACGAGTACACAATGTGTTTGCATGGTGAATGACTTTCTTCATCAAGGTCAGATATGTGTGACCGCACGTCCATCTGCCCGCTAGAACTTTCATCGGTAAAGTACAATGAATAATACTTTTATCATTGTTTCACCTTCGGCGCGAATGTCACGAAGACAGTAGTTCGAGCCAAGCCGCTCGCTCGAAATCTCGAAATACACAGAACGTGCCACACTCGAGAAATATCTTGTTTTGCAATCTTTGTTCAGTGAAAGATCAGGAGGGCAACCGACATGGGATACTTTAGATATGATACACAATTCTGCTGGTTTGAGGGGTGTAGTAGAGTTTCACTTCATGCATTTCGTGGACATCCAGAACGTCGAATCCGTACAAATCGCGGCGCGCTGTAGCCCCTAGCCCCTACTTCGAACAAACGATGCAACCATGCACGTACGGAAGTACTCGGCAAGCACAGATCACGTGTGTGTCGAGAATGTCGAGAAACACCCTCGATACAATTTAGGTAAGTAAATAGCTGATGGTGTGGACCGCCTGAAGTCGCGCCCACTGGGAAGGGATTGATGGTGATTGAGCATATTGACGAGAGCGTTATTTTCTTTTTTTTTGGTTTGGGCGCGATTCTCCCCACACCCTCCCACGCACAAAGGCATACGACCACCAGTTCCCTCACCACCCCGGAAAGCGATCGGCCCTATCGGAATACCGTCCAACCTGGAGGTCAAACTATGGGCTCTCGTTTAGAGGATCCCATAACACATTTGACAAGGCTTTGCGCGAATCTACGCATCTTGATCCACCTGCTACAGAACAATGTGTACGTGGTTGCGTTGACGAGGCCCATCTATCCGCTACAACTTTCACTCTGATAGAGTGAACACAGTTTTTTACCCCACAAAAGAAACGTGGATCAATGCTAGGTTTTCAACCGATTCTTCTGTTTATTGGCCCTAGAGCTCACCCCATAGCTCACGTGCCCCTACCTTCTTTAACTGCACCGGAACAAAAAATTGAGATCAATAGGGAATCTACTGTACGTCCATCTTGAATGAATTGTTGCCTCAATTGATAGCGACAGGCTGCTGCCACCGTAGAAGATAGCGCGACTCGTACCGACAAGGCGCATTGGTTTATCCTAGGCCTGGCTAGGGTATTGCAATGATCGATCTCTCGCATGTACCAGGCCGGAACGAAGTTCTGTGGGTATGCAGTCCGGGTTCACTCATTGCCATCATCATCCACATTGTTTTTGTAGCTGTTGTACTGTAGACCACTAAGTGGTCACTGACACACTAATGTACTAACACCGTCTATTCAGGCGCTAAGGCTCCAAAGACTACACCTACCTAACTTTGGGTGACCGCACAGACACAAAGTGTTGTTGGTCGCGCTTGGTCTCGCAATATAGAGTGAAATATCATGGTGTCGTGTCCTCTCCGCGAAACAGTACGATTTCGTACGATTTCTTTTTATTGGACCAACTCAAGATTCACAATGTGGTCACTTAAATAGTGAAGCTTAGAGCAACTCCCTGCGTGGATGTGATATGTTGGATGTGTAGCGACAGGGAAATTCCATGTTTCCTCCGTGTCTCGCACAGCTCAGATCAGATCCCCAGAACAGAACAGGTTCTCGCTCCACTAGGCGCTCCTTGATCATGGCACTGCTTTTGCGTCGGCAGGTCACAAAATTTCATACATATCAGCGGCATCATGAAGCTGTGTCCGCGGTTGGTGGTACCCGTTGTCCTACACACTGTAGGACAACTGTCCGCATTCTAACAAACAACGAACAGCATGCATTTGCGTGGGGATGCTACGCCCACAACGGGAGAGTTTGACTGCAAGACCTCTTCACGAAAACAAAACGTGGGTGTATGGTGTACCGATGCTTGTCTACTTCCATTCATAGGTCGGGTGTGGCCGCCCATCCATCCATCTGATACAAATTTCTTTGGTAAAGGTACAACGAATATTGTTGTTCCTGCAGCCTTCCGCGCGAATCGTCGCGACAGAAACGCAGACGTGGGGCGAGCCATTAACGCGGCTCGCTCCAAATTCAGGGAAATGTTCGAGAGAACTCTAATTTCATGGAACCTCGCTGCTGCTTTGGTATGGGGGGACAACCAACCACGAAATACGGAGTGATTGGAGAGAGAGAGAGAGAGAGAGAGAGAGAGAGAGAGAGAGAGAGAGAGAGAGAGAGAGAGAGAGAGAGAGAGAGAGAGAGAGAGAGAGGAATATGTGACAAAGGAGTTTGGGCGACGGTTTCTCTCATTGATACTTTATGAAAATCGAACGTTCAACCTCTCTACCAGATTCATGGTGCTGGCGATCTCGTTGTTCCTGAATATCACCGCCAGAGCAACCGACGTATGTATGCGTGTACTGCAGTGATCACCATGTACACATTTGTCGGTAAACGTTGGTGCGGATCTGAAGGCGTGCCCATGTGGGAAATAATTGATGATGGTAAGAATGTTGTGTATATATATCACTATATTTTCGTATGTGGGTGCGTTCGAGCCCACGCAATATATTTTATCGCACACAAATGCACACAATACCCAGTTCGAAAACAAAGCCGGAAAGCGACGGATCCAGCGGAATGCCGGCTAACCTCGAGGCGAAACCATTGATTCTCGAGTAGAGTCCAAAAACTGTTGTGCGTAGAGCGACGAAAGAGCAACCCACACTCACTCGGTGGTTGCTTTTGCGTATGCAGTGCAATGACCATTTGGAAGTTCTGCTTTGCACGGCGATCGAATATCGCCCCTGGTAGCGCACCTTACACAACCGTCACACCTGTTGTACACCGCACCCAGCGCACTGCGATCACGAGGCTACGCTCACACTGTGACAGCACGCTTCATATGTGAACCTACCTACGCATCGGATTCTACCTGCTACTCACACTATTTGATGTATGTGTACCGTTTCCATGAAAGTATAAATCAGCCTCCATGAAGGTTTGATCTACTCCGATGACGCTAATACCACTTCCATGGAAACTACACGTTTTGTACTTCCCTGGAACGGCAAAACGGCACTTCCATGCAAGAGATATTCACTCCCACGGAAGTAAAGATATGAAATGAGGATGTTCCACTTCAAAGGAAGTGAATTTCCACGGAAGTCCCATGGAAATCCCATGGAAGCTATAAAAAATAGGCTTAGGGCAGCTTCCATGGAAGTATTTGGCTTCGGGTCAGCTTCCATGGTACTTTCGGGGTTGGGGTTAGGTTTGGGAAGCTGGAATTACCACATTTCCAGGCGCTTCCGTGGAAGTTGCTTTCGGGGTTGGGTCAGGGTAGGGAAGCGGGAGTGACTACATGTCCAGACGCTTCCGTGGAATTTGCTTTCATGGAAGATTCGGTGCGTCCACGGAAGTCGGTTTCAACCTCTGTCACTCACTTCCTTCCATGGAAGTTGCTTTCATGGAAGTCTCCATGCTTCCAAAGAAGTAGCAGAGACTCTGTCGAGCTACGAGCTTCGATGGAAGTATTGCTTCCACGGAAACTCTTCGCCCTTCCGTGGAAGTCCGAAATGTGACTTCCATGGAAGCAACGAGCGGTTGTTTTCGGGTGCTTCCATGGAAGGAGATCAACTTCCATGGAAGTTGTGTACCGCTTCCATGGAAGCATCATGGAAGCTGGAACCCGACACAGACGAACGGATTCATTGGAAGTCAAATTGACTTCCTCCCTCCAGGAAGCCATCTAACTTCCAGGGAAGAAGTCCATAAAATGACTTCCATGGAAATGAAAGTGACTTCCATGGAAGGGGACCCCTTCCATGGAAGTCAATTTTCGATTTCCGTGGAAGGTTATTCGACTTGTCAAATAATGGAGGTTACCCCCTCGACGGCTTCCTCTCTGTAAAAAGTGAACACAAGTTGGTCAAGTGTCACTAGTTATTGCTCGATCGCTCCAGCTATGACGCCTGGTACAGAACCATCCCGCATGTCCCGAACCAGACGGGGTGCCGCGGGTGTTGACGCGCTCTCCTGATGAGCGTTTGGTGCTCTTTCTTGTCACAAAAGCCACCCCCCCCCTCGACCGTCTTGTGGCACACCGTGCGGTCGATACCGTGTCCCCGCGGCGGCGGCATGTGAGTCGCGACTTCGTGAGTCATTGGCCGACAGTGGTTTATCAAAGCGACAGGTGGTCCCCTTATCCTTGTTGACTTTGCCCCTCGATCTCACCAACAGGAACACAAAAGATCGATCGGAATCTATTCGCACCTTTATTTTCAGGGTAACTGATGACACGGTCTACCATGTACAGCAGTACCGTAGGTTGTAGCGGGTTTGACGAATCTTTTTGCGTGGATGTTTAGTCTATAGCATAGGCGATACGTAGTACTCCGACCGGCGGTTTCTGAAAATGTACTCATTTTGTTCATTTAGGTGAACCAACTATGTGTGAAGTCTAGATGGTAACAGATTTTCGTTGGTCGCACTTGCTGCGCTTGATCTCAAAATAGATACAAGTAACGTTTGTGGACACCAGCGTTGTGTTCACTCAGCGCGAAGTGCATTTTTTTTTCTCCGCAGATCGAAGGAAGCCAAGCGTAGTCACCGACGAAGGGAGAGTGTCATTAACTTTTCATGTGTTGCTGATCGTTCCGTGTTGCCCCTCATGTGCTACAGCTCAGATCAAAAGCCCAGGCCTGAAACTGATCACTACTTTAGGTCCGGTATCATCATGAAGCTTCACACCACGTCCGTAGCAGTGCTTCTGGGACAACTGTCCTCTCTAGCGACGGTCGCTCAAGCAGCTCAAAAGAAGATTGAAATCCCAGCTGGAGGTTATACGTTCAGGCTTAGCCTCTTCGACGACGGGCGGACCACTCCCTACCGGGTGTTCTTCGCGGACGAGTACCTCACTGGCTCAAGCTACAGGCTGAGCGCGGATGGGCACGTTCAGTACTTCAAGGCCGGCGCCGAGCTGTACTTCGACCGCATGGTACAAGACGATCATTCTATCTCATTCAGCAAAAAGCTATCGGAGAGCAGGAAACATGGCAAGGGGCGACCAGAACCCCATGACGACTACGACTTCTCTTCGTCCGAAGCAAATTTTTGCACCGAATGCACAGAGGCGATTGCCGCTACGTGTTACTCTGGACTCCCCGAATTCTGCACCATGGTTGACCGATCCATCCTCGGCTACGACGGGCTCCAGTCCATGAGAGCTCTGTGCCACAACTACGAGGAGGTGTGCACCATCGTCGAAGATTCTTGCCACTACTTGTGTGGAGGTAAGTTCCCCGTGTGGAGCCTAGAGAGTTACTGCACGAACTGTTGTCTTCCTGTGAGTGCCAAATGGGAACTCCGCAACACGAAGTCCGGGGAGATCGACGTGTGGATATGCAGGGAAAAAGATCGCAGTGAACACCTCGGAGTATGGTCAAGGCAAGACACGGCTCCCCCCGTCATGGTCACCCGACCTCATAACCTTTTCACGATAAAGCTGTAGACGGTGTAGCATGCAAATGGATCGATTGGTTATTATTGTGTACCGTTGATTTGTGTTCCAATTCACACTACATAGTTCCCGCGCACCTCCATCATGTTCTTGCTATCGAGAGCAAACGCACAAATTTCCCTTTCTGCCACCATATCTCTCCTCTATCCTCCCTCCACATACTTTGGCATGTGTGAGAGCCCAGCGCTGGGGTCGTTTGCTTGTGTACACCAAATAGTCTAATTGTGAACATTTTTTCCCTGCGGCTGCGCAGACGTGGACCACGAGTTGGTGAACGCCGCAACTATCACAGCCATTGCCGCAAGCGCCACTGGCTTCGACGAACGCCCGGGACAGGCCAGTGGTGATTCCGGATGCGGCAAATACGGGTGTCTGCCTGTGTTGGCCACCGACGGCATCGCCGACGACGTCGAGTCCAGGTGGTCATGCGCGGAGGACGTCGTCCCTGACGGTGGACAGTGCGAGATCGAGTTCACTTTCTTCCACCCCCAGAACCTCAAGCAGTTGCAGGTCGACTTCTGGAAGGGTGAGGAGCGCACCCGCACTCTCAAGGTGAGATGCTAAGAATGTATTTCACGCTATTTTACTGGTTGTAGTACATCTTGGGATACACAGTAGCGCTTGAGCCGAATGAAACGCTGTGTGAACGCACCGGCGGCGGATGGGTTGCCCCTTCGTAATATGTATCAAGTCGGCGGCTGCAGATAAATGAACGTGAACATGCATTGACAAGCAAGAGACTGGCACGCATTGCACACAACGTGTAATCAGAGAGTCGTATCCAGACGGGGCAAAGATGCAATAAGCCTGCGATCGTGTAGTTTGGTGCGGTATTTTTCGGCGTATTTTCGACGTCGAGGCAGTAGTCTACATTGTTATCGTCTTGCTCGCCATCATGGCGCAAACCGAAGCGCTTTGGCAATTGCAAACAATGGTAATCTTGCATTAGTAGACTACCCATGAGATATCGAACGCTTACAATTTCACCGTGGGGCACGCTGCCAAAAGTCGTACCGCCATTGAACAGCCGGCCCGACGAGCTGTTAACGATTCGAGTCTGGTTCGCACGTTCGCCAATGGTGAACAGGTCAAAATCAACGGCGAGAAGTTCGGGGAGTTCGACTCTCACCCTGGATCTGTCACGAGCTATTTCGACGTCATTGCGTACGACGTGCACACCGTCACGCTCGAGTCCCTCGGCCTCGACAAGGACGAGTGGATCAGCCTTCTCGAGGTATCAAATGGGGGTATTGCTGGTGTCTTTCGTTTTCCGTCACGACATCATTTATCTTGTCGGTCCCTCGTGTGGTACGTGCCTGGTGTGGCGAGTTGCGGTAATCCTTCCTGTACAACTTGCTACGGTACAGGCACATGAACAAGACCATGTCGTTTGTCGTGCCGTGGTGTCTTGGCAGCGATCGCAGCATACATCAATGAAGTTTATCCAACACTGCAAGTCTAGGGCACGAGCGAAAATCAACCAAAGCGCCACCTCGAGTATCCAGTCTACGAGGGTGTGTTGTAAAAAGGGATGGCTCCTACTGGGCGGTTCAATCTCTTGCGTACCTTTATCTAGACTGTTCGGCGCCTGCAAGAAAAAGTGGAGCATACATCAATTTTTCCCCATGGTCGTCCTGTACGCGGTGTTTTGCGTTATCGCAGGAGACCCAACACACAACAAGTCGTAGTATTGGAGTTGGCTTGCCAAACTATCGCCGAAGTGCAGCCCCTCCACTGTCCACAGCCTTTTCCCGATCTTGTTCAACCTCCCCGCCCCCATCGTCTCCACACACACGTGATGCCGGATTTGATTGTGATTTTGACCCAGGTACTCTTCATGGTGGAACCCTGAGCGGCGGCGCTCGAGAATCCTCACCGCGAACGAGGAAGACCGCGAACATAGCTTCACTTCGCATGTTGAGAGTACCAAGTTGAAGTGAATGGGTGGGGTTTCCTCTAAGGACTTTATTTGCGTTCCTGAACGAGCGCGTGGAAAGTAGCTGTCGTACGTAGTAAACACATTGCCCGTGAATGCCAAGCTAGATGTACAGTAGTTGGTCTCAAACTTCGGAGTGAATCAGATGTTGGATGATGGTATTAGTCGGCCTCCTTTGACGGGGGCCGCAGAGCAAGATACAAGGGGACCATCGTTGCAGGTTGCAATGACAGCCAACGATAGAGTTGTTTGCATTCATTGCGGTGCGCAGTTAGAGCTGATCCTGCCGCGAAGTGCCGTATGTGGCCCCTACGTTTTGTGTGTGCACGCCGAGAAAGGGCCAGTATGGAAGTGTTGGTGGGCATGCTTACAGTGACGATGGAAATCGAGTGAAAATATTAATGCTGCATGTGTGCATGGGCCAAGTTGGACTACATGTACTGCATAGTCTAGAGGTGTTACAGTAGCAAGTTTTGATCAGAGGTTGGGACAAAAAACAAGGAGCGGAAACGCGAAACATTCAAAAAAACACTGCAAGCCTAAAGTCGCCGGGGTGGTGCGAACGCCATGCAAGGTGCGCTCACTTCCTGTAGGTTGTCGATTCCACGACGAGAATTTCCCCCCCAAGCCTCCTATTAAAAACTCTCTGCACAGCGACGAGTTCGGTAGCAAATTGTGGAACGTGTAAATGTCGACTTAATGTGAGGGATTTGGGATCATAGCACAACATTTCTTTTGTGCTGCAACCCGCTTCAAGGCGGACTCGAGTCGTCATAATCGGGGATCGAGCGTGGGCATTTTTTCAATGGCCAGTTCGCATTCAGACATTCAGGGATGGCCCCGACCCATGGCTGCCCGATGTAGGGCACGCCTGAATGACACGCGATTACATAGGCAAGAGTCACATCCAACAAGAGGCCACCGAAGTCGATCTTCTTCGTCCCTTCGATACTCCACGAAGTTGCAATGCCATGCGCGCACCTCGGCTGCAGTTTTTTCCTCATCTTGAAGAACTCTACCCATTGTTTGTCGGGACGCATGAAAACATTCAAAGAGTTGCCCTGGAGTAGGATCTCGGTTCACACGTCAGATCCAAAATAACCCGCCTACGCCACCCATCACCACGCGATGACACCGCCACATTTCACTTCTGTCGACGATACTAACCGAAGACCCCGCGCCGCTCCCTTTCGTCAACGCCTCCATGGATATACTCCATTCCACCCACAAAAAGAATCAACTTGTCGACCACGAAAGCAGGATGCAGCGTCAGCAGCCGGAGTGCCACGGGTGCCGGGCTACCCATCAGACCGAGAAGAAGCACCGCCGATTGCCTTCCTGCTCTCCGCCCCCTTCCCCAACAGAGAAAGAAAGAACGCGCTCGAATCCGCGCCCGTGCAGCCACCCCTCCGCCATACACAATCTGCCCCTGCATCTTCCACCTGGAACCCGCCGGTCACGAAGTTGGCGGAGAGGCGGCGGCACCGGCACCGCCGAGATCATTCAGAAGAGCCTCGGCCGATCGAGCCACGTCCACGGAGCCCACCCCGTGGACCACCGCGACGTCTCGGCCCAAAACTCGCGAAAAAAAGCGAGAGACCGAAAACGAGAGCTGCCTCCGGCCGCAAGCGGAAGCCAAATCGTCCAGCATGGCTCCCGCTCCATCACCGCCGCCGGCGCCGCGTCTGCAGCCACCGCCTCCGCCGCCCCCGTCCCCCGCAGCAACGGACGGAGCTGCGGAGGTAACGCCCCCCGCACCAGCGGCCTTCACGTCGCTGAAACCGTGCGAACCGGGGTTGATCCCCGAACCCTCCGCTGTCGTCGGACCTGCGACCGTGCTACAATCAGCACTTGGCTTGACGTCGCTGGCCGCTGCACCGGTTCGAGGGCTTTCGGCCATGCCTGCCGCGACAACGGGGAGCGCCGTGACGTCACCCGCAATCGTGGCCGCCGGCGACACGTTCCGGCGAACGGAGGGACCACCGCCCGCGGAACCGCAGCATCCCAAGCCTTGCCGACGGCTTGGATGCGCCACTCGACACAGAGCGGATGCTAGCGCGTCCATGATTGCCGCTTCACCATCAGAACAGACGACGGCTGCATGCGGGGGTCGTCGCTGACTGTCACCTTGACGCTCGCTTGGCCCTGCCTTCGTCGACAAAACGCCCGGCAAAACCGCCTCCATCGACGCTACTACCTCTTCCCCTCTCGATCGGATGCCGCCGCCGGCGGAGGAGATTGCGTCGTCGGAATCGGTCACTGGCTGGGGGCTCGGGGGTGCCACCGGTGGAGCCGGTCGCTGCGGCTGTTGTCCGGCAGCGAGCTGAGCCGCCGCCGCGGTGAGCCGCTCAGCCGGCGCACCGTCACCGACGGTCAAATCTGCCGACCCCGCCGCCGCCCGCATCGGACCGCGGCCACCTCCTTCTCGTCTACACGTCTCGTCGTCGTGGCCGAGGTCGGCGGCGGCGGCGGCGGCGGCGACGGCGCGGTCAAGGAAGGCACGAGCGATGTCGCCGCAGGACGTTCCAGTCGTTTCCGCCTTGTCACCGGTGCCCGGCTCTTCGGGACCCAGGGCAGCCGGCCTCAAACTCCGGCCACCGTTGCCCCCGCCGAGGGCTACGTCCAGGAGCTCCTTGAGGGAGGCCCGGGGAAGGACGGCCGCCGCCAAACCGCCTCCCGTGTCGATACCCATCCAGAGGCACCCGGGGTCAACGCCGCCAGGCATGGATGTATCGCCGCCGCCACCGCCACCGCCGCCACCGCCGCCAACAACGCCGCCAGGAGCCGGCCGTGTTCCGGCCGCAACCACCGATGACGGAACACCGGGCAGAACCGCGAAAGACGACACGAACCCGATCACGGCGTCGTCGATCCGTCTCTCAAGCACCAGGGCCCGCTCTCGACAGGGGGATCCTGACGTCGTCTGGCACGCCGCCGCCCCCCCCGCCGCCGCTGCCACCGCCGCCGGGGCAGCGGCATCCGTCGTCGGGTCTGCAGCCTCAAGTGCCTCAGCACGACCAGAAAGACTTGTACCGGCATCGCCGGCGTTAGCAGCAGCGGCAACACCGGCAGCAGCGGCAGCAGCCCCTGGCGGCAGGCCTCCGGCGTCTGCTACCATCGACGGGGGGGTAACGGCAAGCCGCCGCCGCCGCTCCCTCGCCTGCAAGAGCTCAAGCCGCTGCCGCTCCCGCCGGACTGCGTTCCGGCCCTCGCCACCCTCGGCCCACCGCCGCGCCGCCACCAGCGGTCGCCCCAAGTGCCTGGCCGGCGCGCCTCCGACTGACCGCGGGGGCGGGGCGCTCCCGTTCCCGCCCGCCGCCGTCAGTGATGACCACGAGAGCGTCCCAAGGCCACGGTCGCGGACCGCCGGGAGCCCTCCCGGCGCTGAAGGATCCCAAGTCCCACCGGCGGCGCCGCCGCCGCCGCCGCCGCCGCCGCCGCCGCCGTTGTGTCTGCCCGCATTCACGATCGCCCAGCAGGCGCCCGGCGCGCTGCGAAGGATACGGTGGTGGCGCGCGAGCTCCGGCCGGACCCGCTTCGTCAGAACGGCGCACGCCCCCGACGGCTCGGTCATGTACACCCGGTACGTAACGCGCTCGTCGTCAGCCTGAGCAGTAGTGGAAGCGTTTCTTTCGTTGCCCGACTCGTCCCGGAAGCCGCTGCCGCTGCTGCTGCCGCCGCCGCCGCCCCGGCAAGCGGAGTCGGCGGCGTGCGTGATCGATTCTACCGTGGCGAATACCTCCCCAGAGCCCGGGGTCGCGGACAAGGGGGAGCGCTCCACCGTCACCGCGACCACGCACCCGACGACGTCGACCTCCGCATCACCACCACCACCACCACCACCACCACCACCGCCCCCCGACCCATCCCCGGCCTCGCCCCCGCCCCCGCCCGCGGCGGATGGCGGCGCCGTCGATCGCCCCCGCTCCTCCTCCCCCCCGCCGTGCACATGGCGACGACCAGCGCTAGCGCTGCCGCTGCCACTACCGCTGCCGCCTCCTCCGCTAACGTGACCGTGCCAACAACCTCCCTCGTCATTCCCAATCCGTCGTCGAGACCCGCGCAGTGGCGGCGGGACCAACGCCGAGAGAGGCGTGTAGCGGCGAGGGACAAAGCGTGGCGAGAAAAAGGGCGTCCTTTCAGCGCCCAGGTAATCTCCGCCTTCGCCGCCCGTTGGCCTAGCGGGGACGCCGCCGCCGTCGCCGCCGGTGCCGAAGCCCGGGGTGGTAGTGGTGCCGATGACCTCTATCTTTGTCTGCCGGCCCGCAGAGAGCTCCAGGGAGCATCCCGGGACGCGGTGTCGGCACACAGAAGCCGTAACGCTGTTGTTTTTTACGTTGCGCGTAAAAGAAACGATGGATTCAGAAAAGAAAAATCGAACGAAACAGCGACGAGCAAAGAACAGAGTGAATGAGACAAGTGTTGAAAAATAAAGTACACGGGTCCCGCCAAGATACCCCCCGTGCAACAGGTAAAGCAATCTGGTAGGATAAACCTAGTGGGGGTTACGGGAGAACGCTATCGGAGAGAAAAAAAAGCGACCGGGGCAGGGAAACGCCCGTCGAAAACTGGAGGGTTTCGAAGGAGCCAACGCCGAAAAACATTAGCTGTCGGATGGAGGACGGAATACGGAGCGCCATTCCGACACCAGTTGTTGTTTGGGCACCCACGGGTGGCATGCGCTGCAAAACGTCAAAAGAGTCACAATGACCGTTTCTTTATAACCAAGCGGACGCTGAACAGGGAAGAAAGGAGGAGGGCGGCAATGGCGGAAAAGAGCCAGAGACGAGAAGGGACAAAAATCAGCAGCTCCACGTGGATAACGGTAGTGTGATGGGGACATCGGCTCATGCGATGTACTCAAGAAGCACCTTGGCACCGCTCATGTCTGTGCTCATTCGGGTTTGATGTCACAGCCCTTACGCCATGCCGTCACGCAACAGACAACTCCTTGGACAACCAAGATTCCAAGGCACGATTGGGTGCACAAAACACAGCACGCAACACAAGCAGCGGCACCGAGAGAGAGAGAGAAACCTCTCTCTGTCTCGCTCGAAGTCCTCCTCCTCCTCCTCCTCCTCCCCCTCCCCCTCCCCCTTCC